CTAGACCAGGAAGATCGTTGTTTATGTCCGAAAGTGTAACTTTACTTGTCGACAGCCTATATGCCGAAGCAATAGAGGCTGCAAAGTCGCGTGCCGCTTTATCGGCTTCTACCCCCGAATTAATTTCTAGTTTAGGTGATATTAATTCAGAAGCTAGGCTTTGAAACCGCTCCCAATCTGTAAATTTTTCAATGGGTTCCGAAAGGTTGCTAATTTTAACGTGATCCAGTATGTGAAATACTATTGGTAGGTGATCTGAATCCAAAATATCAGAGACGACGACCTCTGACACTCTGATATTTTTGTGAACCACAATGTCTAACACGCCACCAATTCCCGCAGAGGAATAATGAGTGGGGAACTGTGGTAACGGAGATAATGGCCAGAGAAGCGTAAACTTTGACAGGCGTTGCACGCTTGTTGATTACAAACTACATATTAAAACTGGCAGGAATATGTGGATTCTGTAATGTTAATAATGTACGTAACATCAAACTAATTTGTGAGTGACATGAAGCCATAAAATTGAAGTACAAAATACTCGCTCGCCATGTCATAATTGTCCTTAGGGTTTCAAAGCACTATACATGACACATGAATGGCAAGCGCAGACGAAACGTGGCTGACTGTGCGTTCTGATAAAGCCAACTACATAAGTACGGCTAGGGTGAATCACGGCACTCAAGGACAAACATAGATAAGGCATCTCAGCTGAGAGGTACAGTGCGTGGACCTGCCAGAAGACCACACTTTTCTTGGGCCATTATCTCCGTAACCGTTCAACTTTTTACATAGGTGTTTTGGGTTATATCGGCATACTTTAACATAAGGAACACCCTCCCGAAGTTTGGTCCATTCCTCCTGGGACACCCTGTATGTATATATGTGGTCCAGTTAGGGCGTTACCCAGCTGGAGTAATCTACTAGCGTCATTCATTGTATCACCCTCGTGAGTTTGTGGAGGTTCCACAGCTGTCTTCTTCTTAGTAAAAAGCAAAACTTCTTTTCTTGTGACAGCACATGTGAAGGAAAAAGCTCTGATCTTTTGAGCCTTCCTGAAGTTAATCTCTTGGTACTTCCTGTTGGTACAATCGTTTCCTCATATTACATTAATGTACAGTCTTTTTCTCATATTACAATGTACCATATAACATATTATATCATTTACCTTATACAATCGTTTATTACATACTATGTATTCCCATATACCACATAGGTATTAACATTTACAACAGTTTATAGAAAATATCACCGTACTTTATACAACAACCTATACCCGGTGTCACCATATACAACAGTGT